GACACTTCAACCCGTCGTCACAGTTGTGATGTTTGCCTGCGTCCGTCTCTCCTCTCTGTGCGTGTTTTACAGTTTCTAAAGATTTGTCCACGTTTTGAAATAAATGAAGGTCGTCGGAGGGTGCTGGGTGTTTTCTCAGGATTTGTAGCCAAGTGCAGCTCTGCATGGAGACCTGTTCACCTCTTCGTCTTTGTCTAAACTGCAACGACACAAAAGCTGGTAGATGTTTGTTTTTTTGTTTGTTTCTCTATAAAGAAAATAAAAACAAGAGAAAGGAGAAAAGTATTTTTTGTATCATCGGCTCTCAGAGTGCTGCTGTAATGTCTCTGTATTGTGTAAATGGGTTTGAAAATCCTTGGACTGGAGCCTGGAAGGCCTGTTAGTGAGGAACATGCATCGGGTCGTATTATTCCACTTTGTTGCCTTACAACATGGATTTTAAACAGATTTCAACTTTTTCTGTCCTAACTGTCACAAAATACTTCAGTTCATTTAAGTTTAGTCAGGGGAAATAACTTGTTTTAAATGAATAAAATGTATAAAACAAACCAAAAAAAGGTGTGTGCATATTTATTCAACTTCCAAAAGTCATTTTTGTAAATCGCAGCTGTTCTAGCATCAAGTCTCGTCAGGTCTCCATGATCTTGTCCATGATTCGATGTATTCGTCCATTGCTCATGACCAAAGGGCTGCAGCTCCGTCAGGTTGGATGGGAGCTCTGGACCAGTCCAGGACATGCCTGTTTCTGACGTGTTGCTTCAGCAACGTGTTTGAGGTCATCGTCCTGCTGAAACGTGCACCTCCATCCCAGTCTCAATTATCTGGAGACTCCAGTAAGTTTCTCTGGCTCCAGTTACAGTATATTTCCTTCCACACTGACCAGTTTCCCAATACAAACATCCCACATCATGAGGCTGCCACCGCCATGCTTTACTACAGGGATGGTGTTCTCAACAATGATGATACGTGTTTAGTGTGCCTCAGACGTGATGTTGTCCTTGATGGTCCACAAGTTAGTTTGGGTTTTCTTTAACAAACGTGTGAAACCAAACAGTCTTTTTATTTTGTTATTTGGTTAAGAGTTAAAACGATGTTTGTCATTGTTCTGCCAGCCGTCCATGAAGTCCAGCTCCGCAGCTTGTAGTGGTTCTATGAACAGATCCTGCTGTCTCTGCTCGGCTCCATCAGGGTTGATGTTGGCCTTCTCGATGTTTCCCTGCCTTCCGCACAGGTTCGTGACTTTTGATGGACGACTCTCGGCAGGTTTGCTACGTGGCATCATCACTTTCTAAAATTGGATTTATCGGAGCTTAGTGGAATATTCAGGGTTTATTTTTTTATAAACCACCCCTGAACTTTAAGTCTCCACAATTTATTATTTGACCAGTGTGAAGAGTTCCTTGGTCTTCATGATGTCTCATACTTGGTGGTAGCCCTCAGTACCTAAATGTGTCGAACTGGTGTTGAATCATGAGTTTGTAACAAACAGACACGAGTCATTTCAAACTCATTACAAGGTTGTTGAAGTTAATGGCTGAGACTTCAAAGCAAATTGGCCTGACACTGGTTTCCCCTACCATTATCAAAACAGATCGGTTTCATGTTGCTGCTGATC